CCCCTGGAGATCTCCAGCATCCAGGGTCTAACTCTAGATTACTCTGGCAGCTAGGCCTGACCTTGAGGCTCAAAAGTGGTCAGTGCCTCCCGCCAGCTCCAACAGCCAGGCACCACCCCCCAGATTTCCCTAATAGCTGTTCCCCTATTCCCAGCCCCTCAAGGCCACAGAATGACCCCCCCCCCTATAGAAAAATAATCCCATCTATCCTTGAGCTTGCCCCAAAATAATCCCTCTAATCTGAGGCCATCCTGTAAAACTCCACCAAACCCCACCCCACCCCACCACCCCCACCCTCCGCAGAAACCCTTTGTAAGCCCTGCCTTCTGCTCAGTTCTCTGCTGTTTCTCACTGAAGCAGAGGCAGCCACCCTCCTGGTTTTTTCCCTCCCAATAAATCTCTTGTGTGAGGTCTGTTGTGCAGTGTGACTTTGTGGTATTCCTTGGCTCCCAATTGCCAGGATACCTTTCTGGCCCAAGATGTAACACTTACAAATAGTTCCCAGAGCCCTAAGCTTCCCTTCCTGCTGTTATACCTGGGGAGGGGGAAGTAATTCCCAGTCCCATGGGGCAGGAGAGTAGATGTTTAGTTCTTTCTCTCTTCGTGGTTTATGTCTCTTGTTCTCTACCAGTGACTAGTATAATTGGAAGACCCAAACCCTCCATTTTCAGAGATACCTTGGCCCCTTATCTGTCTGTTGGGAATTGATATAAGGTAAGAAAGCATTGAATTTTTTTTTACCAAATATTATTGTGATGATTAAAAGCATCAGCCAGAAGACCTACCAGCTTACTTAACGTTACTCAGGTTACATGATGAATTACCTGCTTTCTGGAAAGGCTCTGTGAGACATATCAGATATTTATCCCCATAGTCCCAGATGTACACAAAAACCAGTGAGCCACTAATATTGCCTTTGTCATGAAGTCCAGACATCAGGAAAAAGCTCCAGAAATTAGAGGGATTTGAAGAGATTAATGGGTTTCAACTTTTGGAAATTGCTCAAGATGTTTACTACAACTGAGATTTGGCCAAAGACAGACAGAGAAAGACATTCTTCTATGTGGTGACCACTGCTCTTGGGGAAACAGTCAGGAGAGGAAACCAGTGGGGCCTCTCCAAGTCTTGGTAGTCCAGCCTACTGGACCTCACAGAATACACCCCAGAGTGAAAATGACTGGGTAAAATAAGAACTGGCCAAAAAGGATAAACAAGGATGGTGGATGCTGCCCAACCTTAATTCTGGGAAGGTGACTGGTTATGCATCTCCACCAAGCTACCTACCTAGGAGACACAAAAACTGCTCAACCAGAACCAGGTATTATGTTCCAAATTTGGAAAGCCTGATTAAAGGCATCACTTTCAAATCTGCCACCTGTGCTCAGGTAAACCCCAAAGTGGAAAGGAAGACCCCACAAGGGATCTGGGCTCAAAGGAATGAGCCTGAGGAATATTTGGAATTGGACTTTACTGAAATCTGAACTACTGTTTTTGGCTGCACATATTTGCTGGTGTTTGTAGGCACCCTCTCAGGATGAGTGCAGTCCTACCCCACCCATACATAGATTGCTCCCCTGGTTACTAAAAAGCTTCTTCAGGAGATAATTCTTAGATTTAGGCTGCCTCCTGGCTTTGGGGGTTCAACAATGGCCCCACTTCCTCAGTCAAAATCTGGCAAAGATGTGAAATATTAATTGTAAATTACATTGTGCATAAAGGCCATAGAGCCCAGGTCAGATAGAAAAAATGAATAGAACTCTTAAGGAGATTCTGACCAAATTGTTTCTGGAAACTGGCAAAAAATTGAGCCATCCTCCTCCTCTCTGCCCTGCTCAGGGCCTGATGTCCTCCTTACTGGGAGGGGCCTACTCCTTTGAATTAAGTTTGGGAGAGCACCACCCATCCTCCCCAAACTCTAAGATATTCCCTTTACAAGTCCTTGCAGGTTTTGCAGGAAGCTCACCAGGCTACTGGCCAGACGGTGAAGGGAATCCTGCCATCTCCCAC